ACATGCACAAATGCATACAAATGAAAATAAATCTTTTCATTAGAAAGGGAGAAAACCAGCTGAACCTTTGCATTCATCGCCCTCTGCTTCCTGACTGCCTATGCAATGCGGCCAGCCAACCTGCTGTTGACCCTGTCATGCCTTCCCCACAAAGTACTGCACCTCCTGTCACCACGACCCAGTATGTATCCCTCCTTCCCTTAAACTGTTTTGTCAGGGTGTTTATCACAGCAATGAGACAAGTAGTAACTAATACTTACGGGCTGACAAAAGTGGTTCTATTTGATTCTAACAACTGTCACAATGTACAATATTTTCTAAGAATAATGCATAATCTGAGCAGGTGAGATGGCATGATTGGTAGAAGTGCTTGTCAATCTTCATGACCTGAGTCCAACTCCAACCCCGGGGACTGATGGGGAACCTCCTTCAGCCCATGGCCTTTGAGAGGCTGGACAAGTTTGGGTGTGGCCTTGGGTACCAAAAAAGTGCAGTGCGTGCATTCTCTCTCTCTCTCTCTCTCTCTCTCTCTCTCTCTCTCTCTCTTTCGGATGCTGGGTTCAGTTCCTGTTCCTGGTTCCTACAGAGGCCTGTGATCCGTGAGCTCCCCTAAATAAAGAACCTCTTTATTATACTCAGTTCTGAGCTACTGTGGGATTATTTTATTTGCGTTCACCTTCAAGGGACCTCATGGTAAGGAAAGAAATAATTCCCAAAAAGTCGTCTTCTGATCTCTACATGTGCATCATGACATGTGTGCAACCATGAACAAGCATGCATACACTCACACACATAGACAAATAAGTAAACATAAAAATTTTAGTTCATAAATCTTTGAGGTGTATTAACCTTTTTTGTTTGTTGAGACGGGGTTTCTCTGTTACACAGAGAACTCACTCTGTAGACCAGACTAGCCTGGAAGTCACAGAGATCTGCCAGCCTCTGCATCCTGAGTGCTGAGATTAAAGGCGTGCGCCACCATACTAGGCTTTAACTCTCTAATTATACAACAAGCCTCTTCTTTTTCTAAAGCTTTCTTTGCATCTTTGTCTCGCATATATGGAGAACTGTAGAAGTGCTCTAGACTTCCCTGTGCCCTGGTAAGAAGTTATAAAATTCTAATACTATTTGAGTACCTATGATGCACCAGCTACTACCCCAAGAAATAGATATAGCACCAGCGAACAGAGCAAAGTTCCTATCCCCGCTCTACTGGAAATTCTCACGAACTAAAGTATACAGTAGGATATTTGTGTCTACTGGTGATTAGCGCTAAAACAAGAAAGGGGGCTGGGTGTGGTGGCGCACACCTTTAATCCCAGTACTCAGGAGCCAGAGGAAGACAATCTTTTTGAGTTTGAGGCCAGCCTGGTCTATACAGTGAATTCCAGGACTACCAGGACTATATAGAGAGACCCTGTCTCAAAAAAAAAAAATCACCCATTCACCCACCCCCAAAAAAAGAAAGAAAAAGAGAAGTAGAAAGAGAGAAATGGCCGGGCGGTGGTAGCGCACGCCTTTAATCCCAGCACTCGGGGGAGGCAAAGGCAGGAGGATCTCTGTGAGTTCGAGGCCAGCCTGGTCTACAAGAGCTAGTTCCAGGACAGGCACCAAAAACTACAGAGAAATCCTGTCTCAAAAATCAAAAGAGAGAGAGAGAGGGAGAGAGAGAGAGAGAGAGAGAGAGAGAGAGAGAGAGAGAGAGAGAGAGAGAGAGAGAGAGAGAGAG